GAGAGACAAAGTAAATCTGGTCCACACTACACTGCACTCTGGCCAAAGATCTCAACTTTAATGCGCATATATATATGTGTGGTACAAAATGTCAGCACGTGAAAACTCCTCCATGGTTTGCGTTCCCTCAATGTTCTGCCGACAATTTTAGCAATTTTTCTAGCTTTGTTACTGTTAATTTTCTGTCATTTGTAAGTGTAAATACAACATGAAAAAATCCCCATTAATATATAATTAAAAGGCTTGTATTAGAAGAATGGTATCTAATGAGAATTTTGGGTTTACGTCAGTATGCTGGCAACCAGAAGAAGATCAACGGGGCCAGTTCTCCCTAACCTAACATCAGTACTGGAAAAGAAAAGAGACACATTATGTCTTTTTCTAAAAGTGACAACTTGAAAACCCTTTCTTTAATCTCATCTATACATACATAATATATGTATATATATGTTCCAAGACAAGCCCATTTCTTTTTATGTGTATATATATAGTGTATATATTTCAAAACCATTATCACCTCATATTATCAAGCCTCTTCATTTCTGTCATACAAACACAAACAAAGAAATCTAGAAAGAAATGGAACATTGTTTTGGCAGCGTAGTAGTGGTGTTGATTTCAGCTCTGCTGGTTCATGTTCATGAATCAGATTCATATGTCAGAGCTGACATAGATTTGGACGACTGTGATTTGTTCCGGGGAAGTTGGATTCGTGATGAGGCCTACCCACTTTACAACACATCAAGCTGCTCGTTCATTGAGAAAGAGTTTGATTGTCAGGCAAATGGAAGGCCTGACACTCTCTACCTCAAGTACAAATGGAAGCCTGATGGTTGTCATCTCCCAAAGTGCGTATGTATATACATATATATATGTAATTCATCTTTTTCTTTCTATATTTCATTGTTAGTTGTCTCAATTAATCACTGCTTTAGTTAATTACTCTTACCCTTTTACTATATATACATATACAAGTACTTGAATATATATATTGGTTTTGTATATAATAATTAATTGTGGCTTGGCAGGTTTGATGGAGAGAGTATGTTGAGAAAGTTGAAGGGGAGGAAAATATTGTTTGTAGGGGATTCTCTGAGCCTGAATCAATGGCAATCTTTCACGTGCATGTTGCATGCTGCGGTTCGACAATCTAATTACACTATCAACAGAAACGGATTTGTCTCTGTTTTTACTTTTTCTGTTGAGTTTCTACTAATACTTTCTAATTATATATGTGTGTGTGTATATATGTGTATGTATATGTAAGATAATATTGATGGATTTAATTAATTTGCAGGAATATAATGTGTCGGTTATATTATCTCGGAATGGATTTCTGGTTGATGTAGTAAAAGAGAGAGTGGGAAGGGTTCTGAAGCTGGACTCTATTCAAAACGGCAATGCATGGAAAGGATACGACATTCTCATCTTCAATACCTGGCACTGGTGGCTCCATAAAGCCAGCAAACAGCCGTAATATCCTCTTGTTCATATTCTATATATATATATATATATATATATATATATGCATAGATGTAGTAATTAACTGGTTAATTAGCTAATTAATTTAATGGGTGGACAGATGGGATTACATTGAAGAAGGGGGTAAGATGGTGAAGGACATGGATCGTTTGATTGCCTTCAAGAAGGGAATTACGACATGGGCCAACTGGGTGGACTCCAACATTAATTCTGCAATCACCCAAGTTTTCTTTCAGGGGATTTCTCCAACCCACTACAAGTCAGTTCTTTAATTTAAATTACTACATATAGGATTAGGAAAATATTTTTGGCCCATCAGAGTGGTGGATCTGGGCCTGTTAACCCTCATTTTCTGTTGGTAATTGAATATGATAATTTGGATTAAACAGTGGTGAAGAGTGGAATGAGCTGGAGTCAACGACTTGCGCTGAGCAAACAGAGCCAGTAAGTGGATCGTCGTATCCGGGAGGGTCACCTCCAGCGGTGGCAGTTGTGAAGGAAGTGCTGAGAAAGATGAGAACGCCGGTGGGCCTGCTGGACGTGACGACTCTATCGCAGCTGAGAAGAGATGGGCATCCGTCTATTTATGGATTCCGCGGTGGCCGAGGGAATGATTGCAGCCACTGGTGCCTTCCCGGTGTTCCTGATACTTGGAATGAGCTTTTGTTTGCACTTATTGGATCACAAGTAACCAACAAAATTTAAGTAAATCAAGTTTGATAACGTAGATATATGTATATCTTATATACATGCTTTCATCAATATATATATTTCATCAATGTATGTTTTAGGATCAAAGCCACATTTCTAAAGCTCGCAACTTTCATTTATAATAGGTACACAACAAATACAAACCACATATGTTTTCATCAATAAACAGATTTAGTAAGAATTAGTCTCAAACATTTTCTTTCTCATCTACTTTTTCCACGTGTCCTAGCAAATATATCTATTTTGTCTTCCTCAAACAGAAGGTAACTAAAGAAAAACTTGTTTCAGTAGATTTAAATAGATGTTACACATTCATTTCCCAGTTAAGTGAGGAATGGAATCAATGAGAATGGGAGAACGATATACACGATTTACATGAAAACTCATATCCTCTTAGCTTTTCAACTATCGCGGATGAGATTGGTTGGCTCACTCAAAACATACCTGGGCAGTTCATATTTTGCACCTGCAACAACAATTAATCAAGCATAAAATGGGATAATATCCCAAGACACATGAATTTTTCAGGGGTCAAAATGAAAACACAACTTTTTATGCTGCAGGGTCAAACCCAGGCCACTTCTAACGGGTCCATGAT